GCCCCCCCGGCCCCGCGCTGACGCCTCCGTTCCCCCTCAGACCATCGAACAGTTCGAGTACGACGGCTGCGATAACTGCGATGCCTACCTGCAGATGAAGGGCAACCGGGAGATGGTCTATGACTGCACCAGCTCCTCCTTCGACGGGTGAGTGGGGTCTGGGCCCAGGCCGGCTGCCTTCCCCGGGGCTCCTGGGGATGCTGTGGTGTCACCTGGCTGGGAATCGTCCCCTCACCCCCATCCCTCCCGCAGGATCATCGCAATGATGAGCCCTGAGGACAGCTGGGTCTCCAAGTGGCAGCGAATCAGTAAGTGTTTTTTCCCAGCTGGTTTGGGATCCTGAAATCCCTTTTCTCCAGCAAACCCTTCTCTGGGGCCGTGGGAGCTGCTGTTTGGGCTGCGGAGGGGGTTTCTGCTCCCGATGAGGGGGCATCTGCGCTGGCGGGGCTGCTTGCCCACCTGGCTGCTGCCATGCGGGGTAACTCGGTGTTTTCTTTCCCTCAGGTAACTTCAAGCCGGGTGTCTACGCAGTGTCTGTGACCGGCCGCCTGCCCCAAGGTAACGCTGCTGGCTTGGGCCACGGGGAGGCTCCTGCACGGGTGGCAACTGAGGGATTACTCTGCACGTTAGGTGCTGAGGCTGTAGCCATCTCCAGGGTGACAAACTGGGCAGTGCACTGCGCTGTACCTGTGCGATGAAATCAGGATTTGGGGTTCAGTGAACACTGTTTGTTGTGAGCAGGGCAGACGCTGTGCGGGTGAACGGATTAGCAAGGTGGCTGCAGGAGGATGATGCTGAGGGAAGGTGGCTGCAGGAGGATGATGCTGAGGGGAGGTGGTTTCAGGGTTCTGCAGCCGTTCAGCGCTATGTCTGCCAGAAGCTGATATTGAAGAAGCCGCTGACTGACACCTGCAGTGCCAGGCAGGCTGTCAGAGGGGTAAACTGTGATTAAAGGGTGGCTCCAGAGAGTGGGCGCATCTCAACCCCTTCAGCTACAGGGAAAGGTAAAGGTTTGTCCATAGAAAAGAGTTCGGCAGGATGGGGTGCTGTTACGGCAATCTCGGTGAGCAGATGCCCTTCCATCATGATACTGCTCGAGGGCTTATGTTAAGCTGGGGTTTGTGTGTTTCTAAATGGTGTAGAGCGTTGGCCTTACCTCTGCGATGCAGGAACTGCATCATCCGTCAGCTGAGAGCCCCTGCCCTGCGTGTAGCCCCTCTGTGCCCCTTCCCAGGAGTGCCACAATTCTGTGTCCCCAGGGTGAAAGCTGTGCTTGTGTCTGGAATCCCAGGCTCCGTATTTCTGACCTGAGCTCTGCCATCTGCCTTGGGAAGGAGCTGGAACATCACGTGGCTTGAAGCCGAGGCCTGCTGGCACAGCTCTGGGCACGTCCGAAATCACTGGAGTGCCACAGATGATGGCGCGAGCTCAATGCAGCGCAGGCAGGGAGCGCAGGGCAGCAGGCGGAGGGAGTACAGGTGGGAGATGCTGCCTTTGGCCTCGCTCAGCCCATCCTCGCGTAGCAGGGAGGAGCGAGGGGACTGGGGAGCGCTGTAACCAGAGGGTAACCAGCAGGCTGCGCTCAGGGGCCACGCAGGCTGTCATGTCCTTTGGTGCGGGGCGCTGGTGAGAGCCTCAGCTATCCCTGTTCTTGAGGGGGTGCTGGGAAGGTGGGACGTTCAGGCAGGTCACAGAAGTGACTGAAAGATTTAAGAAGTATGCTGAAGAGCTTGACCTGTTGGGTACAGTCGTAATCAAGTATTTTCCGGTAGGAAATAATGTAAATAAAATCTCCCCCTGGTTCTTTCCCAAGGCAAAACAAGAGCTGATGTTTGGGGGCTCTATCTGGGCATTTAAACCAGAAGAGGGACCACTCTTAACAGTTCTGCTAGGAGGAATGAAGCTGTTTGTCCCATCCTCAATCTCAGGACGGAGCAATTGGATTTTTGCAGGGCTTCTCAACCCTAGTGAATACTGAAATGTGTTTGTCTCCTTTCTGCAGGGATTGTCCGAGAGCTGAAGAGCCGTGGCGTGGCCTACAAGTCCCGAGACACAGCTATAAAAACCTAAGGGGCTCTGGTGCTGCCGGGATGATTCCCTGGAGAGGCAGCAGACACGCGGGGCACTGCTCTGAAACCTTTTTAGCTTTAGCGTATGGGAGAGCAAGCCTGGACTCGGAGCTTGCTGGCTTGGCTCCTCTCGCTCAGGACCTCTGGACTCTGCCGTACCACGGCCTGCCCACACAGACCTTTTCTGAGCCTTGACCAGGGGGAGGGTGTGCATAGGTCTGGGAAAGCAGCATTTAATGGTGATGCACAAGGTTTTTTACAGTTGGCGTGGAAAGGAGGTGAGCTGGGGTTACGGCTGTGTAGATGTTTCAATAAAACCTACTGCCTGGTCAAGAGTTGAGTCGGTCTGTAGCCTCTGTCGCTCCTTTCACCTGCTGTGGGGAGTGGATGCTGTGGGGAGGGGTTTCACACTCAGCCCCCTGCCTGCCAGACTGGTTGGAGCCTACTATTGCCATCACTTCATATGCCATGGACCATGTTCCTGCCGCGATGGGGAGGCCCTGCCCTGGCTGAATTGGGGTGTCCTTCACTGTAGGAAGAAGCAGAGGAGTGATCTGTGCCTTGCTGATGGCTGGGTGGGATAGGTGAGGTGATGTGAAGTGTTTCACGAGGAGGTGACGGTGCCCTGGGCCTGCAGGGTGCTGGACAAGGGAGGTGGAAGCAAGCTTGAAGGCCCTTCAGCTGGCCATTGCTGGCCTCCAGGGCCGGCAGAGCGCGATGAGCCCGTGGCTGGGAGGCAGCACGGGGCCTTGCAGAGGGGAGGGATGGGGTGGAAACACCCATCCAGCCTCCTGCGTGGAGGGCTCTGGCTGGCTGGCAGCTCCGATAGCATCTGCGTTGCATGGCCTGCCAAAAGAGTCAGTCTCCTTAGCTGGTGGCTCTTGCTTAATTTGTTCTGTTCCAGTTCAGCAGCAGCCCCTGGTCACAGAGGTGTCTTGTTCAAGGGCAGACTCCCAGGTCAGTAGCTCTGTGAAATAAGCTTTTTTTTTTTTTTTTCCTGAGATAATCCTGTAGCTGGAAAGCTTAATTGTTCTCTGTAGACAGACAGTGGGAAACCAGTACAGCCTGCAAATGGCGTTTGATCTGGGATGAAAGCAGCTGCAGCAAAGGGAATGTGTCAGTGTTGGGGCGTGATGCTGTCAGGAGCACAGTGACATGCTCTCTGTCCTGCTCTGGTTTGTAGAGCTGGCGCCGGAAGAGTCCCACGTGCTACAGGTCAGCCAGAGCATGGCTGCCTGCAGGGTTTCAGAGCAGATATGTAGCTGGAGAAGACAGCCGTGAGCACAGGGGGGCTGTGAGGGGGCCGCAGCATTAGTCGAGATGAAACACTGCAGAGAAAGACATCTTAAACCACATTTCTCTTGGGGACTTGCAGCCATGATGCTGAAGTCAAAGAGAATTTGCTCAGTGCAGACCAGGATCAAGTCAAGTTGGTGGTGGGCTCTAGGCTCCAGTGGACGCCTCCCGGTGCAGATCGCCTTTTGTGGGAAGAGCCGAGAGTGCTTCAGCCCCTGGCTGGGGGTTAGAGCTGCCTCTTGGGAAGATGGAGCAGTGGGTTCATGTCCTTGGGCAGAGGAGGGAGTTGACCGTGATTTTCACACATCCCTGGTGAACGTCCAAAGCACTTGAGATAATGATCCTCCAGGCTTGCTTGGTCACAGAGACTGGGCAGGAGATGCACCTTGGAAAGGCCCGGGTAGGTTGGGTCTGTGGGAGAGAGGTATGGCTGTCCCGGCAGCACAGGGCATGACTCCACAGGCTGTCAGGTACAGACGTTTTGGGCATGGACCTCTTTGCTCTGGTTGGCAATTTTGGACCGGCTGTGCCGTGAGAGGCACAGGGTGAGCTGGGATCCCCCTGGGGTGCGTTCATCCCCTGCAGAAGGGTCCAGGAAAGCTGCAGACAGTGCTGTCTGGGCAGAAGCATGACGAGTGGACGAGAGCCGACAAGGTTCAGAATGAAAGGGGTCAAGGAGGATGAGGTGGACAGCTCTTCCTCCAGCTGGAGGGAGATGGGTCCAGGGAGTGAGGTTTTGGCTCCAGCCAGGCTGGAAGGATGTTGGGGATGATGGAGATCAACTACCCCAGCCATGCCCAGCCCTTTCAGTGCCACGGGGTGGCAGCACGGCTTTGTGGAGCAGGACTGGAGCCTGGCAATGGGCTGGGGTGAAGCTGCTGGAGATAGACCTGAGCAAGAGAGACCTGAGGCACATCTCCATTTTCTGCTCCATTTCACAGCGCCTTTCGCTCCCAGCTGGCTTCCCAGGTTGCGTCCCCCTTCCCTGTCCCCATGGGGATGGGGATGGCCATGCTGGAGCTGCTCCAATGCTGGAGGCACACCAGGACCCCTTCCCCAGTCCCAGGCCACCTTGTTCCCTGGCCCCACGGTGCAGAGGAGGCGACAGGAGGGCTCTGCACAGGACCCCAGGCAGGGTGGGCTTGTTTGGCTGGGCTCCTGCTGTGGGTCTGCAGGCATGGTGGTTTGCGTTGCCCTTCCTGGCACGCTGCAGTAACGCAGTCACCACCCAGGGCTGGGAACCTTCCTTAGGGAATTGTCCCCAAGGAGCAGCATGTGTTGTCACTGTCCCTCTCGGGGATGGCGAGGGGGCTTGTAAACCCCCCAGGGACCTCACCCCTTGCTAGGAAGCAGCAACTGCTCCGGGCTATACAGAGTTAAGACCGGTGGGGCTGCAGTGCTTGTGCAATAGAGCCAGAACAGCGAGGCAAAGGGGCTGAACGCCGGTGGTCTTTCAGAGGGAGCTGCACCAGCAGCCTGCAGCCGCTCGCAACGCTTCCAAGAACCTGGCGCCTCTAACCAGGCTGGTCCAGCTGGGTGAGCCTCTTCCCTGCAAGCTTGCTCGCTCGCCCACAGATGCACCACAGCTCCAGCCCACGCCACCCAAGTGATTCATTGCTCCCAGGCTGCTGGAGCTGAACGTTGGACCTCTGCACAGCACCTGAAATGAGCATTTCAGCCAGACTTCAGCCCCTGCGCTGCCAGGTTTTTGTAGCAGCAAAAAGCAAACGGATACAGAGCTTTATTTGCTGAGAAAAGTAGGGCAGGGAGCTCTCACGTTGAAGAAATTGGAGGAAAAATGTGCGGCGGCAGCCTGGGCTGTAATCAGGAGAGAAAGCGTCAACCGGGCAGGGAGCTGTAGATCTGACTCAATTTAAAATGGCTCCTCCCCCTGCACCAAATGACACTGAAATATTTCAGCCAGGCCTGAAAATCCTGCAGGTTTGGCATCCGAAGCAGCTCTCAGGCGCTGGGGGGTGCGGGGCAGCCCCCGGCAGTGCGGGCAGGAAGCACGAGCCAGTGGATTTTTTCGTGCGGGTTTTGAGAACCGATACCCCAGCTCTCCCTCCGGGCAAGAAAAGTGACTTTCCAAAACCACAGAGCACGTGGTGTTTCTACGTGAAGCAGCTGCCAGCGGTGCTGGGAAATGCCGGGCCGAGCCG